CTCCTCTCCTTACAGGTCCATGCCAAGGGCCTAAAGCTGGGCATTTACGGCGACCTGGGCAGCCTCACCTGTGGGGGCTACCCGGGCACCACACTGGACGATGTGAAGCAGGATGCCCAGACCTTTGCAGAGTGGGGTGTGGATATGCTAAAGCTGGATGGGTGCTACTCATCAGAACAAGAGCAAGCAAAGGGTAAAAGCTCATGGGCCATCTGGTACTTCTTCCCTTGCTGCTTTGGTTGGGGCAGCTGGCCATCTGCAGAAACATTTGGCCAAGTGGTTCTTTTCTTCTGTCTCCTATTGCAACTCCTGGGCAAAGCGGAGGGAGTTTGGGTGCCCTGGAGCTGGTGTAAGGCAGAAAGCCATGCTGGCCTGGGTTTCCCCTTGCTGGGTGGGCTGCAATACAGGCTGCTGTTGGGATGCAGGCTGCTGCCAGCCACCCTCTTCATCAGTTGTCATCTTCTCTCCCTAAGGCTACCCAGAAATGGCAAGGGCTTTGAACGCCACAGGCCGCCCCATCGTCTATTCCTGCAGCTGGCCAGCATACCAGGGAGGGCTCCCCCCCAAGGTGAGGGTTGTCCTATCCAGTGGCAGTTTCCTGTGTCCCCTGTGTGCTGGGGGAGCTCTTGTTGGAGCCACAGGAGCCAGGTGCTACACCCTGCTTATCACTCTGCCCCTGGGTGGTGCTGCAGAGGGGATGTAGCCTCCCTGCCAGGCATCTGGGAATGTTTGGGGTTCCCAGCGTGGCTAGGTGAGGGGAGTTTGTGGGAAGAAGGCCCTGGGGTATGCCATCTCCACCCTACTCAGCTGGTGTGGAGTTGCTCCCGACGGTCTGTTCTTGTGAGACAGGTACTGTCTGGTTTCAGTGCTTGAAACAGGATATTCCTCCTAATATATCTTTCTTGAGAATTGGTTGCATTCATGTACTTCCTCTTTCACTTTTGAGTCAATCCCAAGCTGCCCTCACTCTTGTAGCTGATAGCTGATCATATTTCCCCAAGGCCTCTGTGGTTGCTTTGCCAGACATCCTATCATACTGGCATGTGCCCAGTCATACTGGGACATGACTTTGTCCTCCCTCCCTACATGATGTTGCCCTTCTCCAGATCCCTCTGTCTTTGACACACTTTCTGGACAGTGCAGCTCTCAGCAGTTTGGGCTGCCTCTTCTCCCTCACCTTGCAGACCAGTTCCCTTTTCCCTGCTGCCTGACCCCGTTCTTCTCCTCAGGTGAACTACACCATCCTGGCAGAGATCTGCAATTTGTGGCGTAACTATGATGACATCCAGGACTCCTGGGACAGTGTACTTTCCATCCTGGACTGGTTCTTCACAAACCAGGACGTGCTGCAGCCAGCAGCTGGCCCCGGTCACTGGAATGACCCGGACATGGTGCGGCTGGGTGGTGGGTGCTCTGACTCTGTCTGGGGATGAGGATTTCCAGAGATCCTCTTCTATGGGCAGGGCAAAGGACAAGTGCCAAGAGCAGGAGTCTTGTTGCTGCAAAGAGGCAAAGCTGGTGTTGCCCTTGGCTAAGCTCTGGGAAAACCACATGGTTGCAATGAACCCTTCACTGTTTGAGTTTACAAGTCATCCATGTGTTCTTTTCTTCCCTGCACGGACTGAGGGGGAGTACTGGTGAAATGAAGGGTGTTAGTGAGTGCATTTGAATGTGTGCTGTTGGCAGAGGTGGGATCTCCTGGTGGTGGACTGCTCAAGAGGAAGCAGAAGTGTGTGGGAGGTTTCCCTGGCAAGCTCCCTCCCAGGAGGAAGCAGCATCAGCAAGGGTGACAGACAAATTTCTAACCTTTTTCTGCCTCTCACATCTTTTCACTGTCTCCCTTCCAGCTCATCATTGGAAATTTTGGCCTTAGCTACGAGCAGTCACGCTCTCAAATGGCCTTGTGGACAGTGATGGCAGCTCCTCTCCTCATGTCCACGGATCTCCGCACCATCTCCCCAAGTGCTAAGGAGATCCTGCAGAACCGCCTGATGATCCAGATCAACCAGGACCCCCTGGGAATTCAGGGGCGCAGGATTGTCAAGGTTAGGAACAAGGCAGATACGTTTGGGAGAGCAGACAGGAGCAGCACAGAGCATCACAGTAAGGAGGGAGAGGGAAGTGATGCAGAGAAACAAGAGCAGGAGAACTGTGAAAGCTGGGGGCCTGCTGGCGTAGCAGCCCCACAGGGCAAGGTCAGACAGGTTATGGGCCAGTGCTGGTCCCAGCAGCTCTGCCTCACCCACCTATCCTCACTCCTAGGAGAAAACCCTCATCGAGGTGTTTCTGCGCCCACTGTCCCAGGCTGCCAGCGCCCTCGTCTTCTTCAGCCGAAGGACAGATATGCCCTTCCTCTACACCACCAGCCTCGCCAAGCTCCACTTCCCTGAGGATGCTGTGTATGAGGTGAGCCCAACTGACACACTGCATAGCAGGGCAGCCCTATGGCACCTGGATCCCCCTCTTCCCAGCTCTCTATGCATTCTGGGAGGAGTGGGAGAGAGGACTCACACTCTATGCATCCAGGATGAAGGGGCAGCTGCCCACTGGGTCACCCTCCTCTTGCCCACTACTGTGCCCTGTCCTGCTATGCTATGTCAGTGACCACAGCTGAACCCCAAGATAAAAGGTCTGTGGAAATCTCTCTCTTCCAGGTACAAGACGTGTACAGCGGGAAGATCATCAGTGGCTTAAAGACAGGAGACAACTTCTCAGTTGTTATTAACCCCTCAGGGGTGGTGATGTGGTATCTCCGTCCCACGGCACTCCCGGTGCAACCCTGGCACGTGGTCAGAGAGCAAGCCCGTGGCGAGGGTCTCCGCCCCATCCTCCTGTGATGAGGTGCAGTGGGTGGAGTGTGGGCCAGTGCCAGGATGAGCTGGGAGACCCTGGGACACGTGGCTCTTCACTGAACAAGTGCCTTTTGCTGGTGTGCCCAGCACTGCTGACACCATTCCTTAATACCAGCTTGATGATGTCTGCTCAGTCTGTGTAAGTCAGGAATTCTTGTTACCCGCCTCCTAAGGGTGTGCAGAGCATAATTCCTCAGTGACTGCAAAGCCCTTTGAGATCCTCCTGTGGAAGATGCCATATAAGCAGAGTCCAGCCACTGTTGGAGTTTGTCAGCTCTGACACCTGAGAACTTCCCTGCTTTGAGCGGGGTATCACTGACCATTGCAGGGGCTGTTTGAACTGTACCTGTAGAAGGGCTTTGGATGCTTTACTATCTCCTAGGGTTGCAACACCCCCTTCTCCCTTCACCCCTCTCCTCCCCAGGCCCAAATGTGCAATGGCGTTAATCTCAAGGATCAAACCCGGTCACCTTTCTTTTGCTATAATCAGCTTGGCTTAGAGTAAGGAGTTGTCAATAGGGCTGCATCCCTCCCATCTACCCCCACCACTACCAAGAACTTCTGGAGGCAAGATGGTGCTCTGCAGAGAGGCTTTACTTGCAGGCCTGATCCTGCTGCCAGGATCCTAGAGGCCAGCACTACTGCAGCCTAGCATCCATGCTAGCATTGTATTAAAGCCTCTCTGGCAGCAGTTTACAGCAGAGAAGAGCAAAAACTTCCATGCATGATCCCAGCAGCCATGCTGTGGTACAGCACCAAAAACTGAAGAGCCGTAGCATGTTGTGTAGAAGTGGTGTGGGGAAGATGCCAGTACTCAAGTTGAGGTGGTCACCAGTGCCTCCAAGCTGCAAGTTGCATCCTGTTCTTTCTAGAAGGACATTCCTGCTAGGAGGCAGCTCAGGTCCTCCAGTAGGTTTAACACTCAGAGTTTCTCAGGGAAAGGCTCCTCCTTCTCCCAAGGGCAGCTACATCCACAGCTCCATCCTGAGGAGGAGCCTGCACTAATAAACTGGAAGTGAGTGGTGGGACAGACTCCAAAGCCCTCAAAACTGCTTCACCTTCATACAGCACACATCCTATGGAAGAGTTTAGGTATGACATGGCCTACCCCATCTCCCACAGAGAGGGGTGCAGCATTCGTGAAGATTGCAGCCCAGGGCACTGACACAAGATTAAGCCTCAGACTGGGGAAATACCACATTTTAGATTAGGCAAAAAAAGTTCTGGTTTTGTTCATCTCTCCGAAGGGTTCCTCATCATCTGCCCACTCTGGTTCCTGCAGGACCAAACGGCTGATTCTGGCCACTTCCAGAAACTTTCTCTGAGTGCAGCATCAAGATACTGAACACAGTGATTGCAGTGCTATTAAGGAAGGACTTGCTAACAAACAAGGAGCTGGCTTTGTTCATGGGAAGTGATTGAGGCAAATAAATTGAAATAAAGGGAAGCAGATCACAGACTCTGTCTCATGTTTGTTTAGTGTTGCTAGCTATAACTGCGTGGTTAATGCAGGATTACAGGGCCATTACCTCAAAACAGGAACTATGCTAAGAAATAGAACTGCTTTCCTGTCAGAAATTGGACTGATGCAGAGTGGGAAATGGCTTTCCAGTAGTAACATCATGTTCAGCAGGGCAATGGCACTGCTTGGCACAAGGGGAAACAGATTTTACAGTCCACAGCTAAGTGCCATTTTCCTTTATCATATATTTATTTTTCCCTTACTGGAAAAAGATTGCTAGTGAGGAGCTCCTCTTAAAGACAGGTCTTCCCTGTGGCAGCAAATGTTAAGAGAAAAGGTGCAACAAATACAGCTGTAGTGAGTAGCACTGTGGTGACACAGCCCTGCTAAATGCAGTGTTGTGCCTGCCTGGAGGGCATGAACATGTGCCAGTTCTGGATACCTGGATGAGAGCAAAGGCACCAACCAGCTTTCCGCCCTTCCCAGGCAGCAAGGGGATAAGCCCCACCTTTTCCCTCTCTCCAGTTACTTGATTCCAGATCCAGCGTAGGCATGTACCAGGGGGAGAGAAGGACTGGCTCACAGCTGACCTGAGAGAACGCCACCAACCGAACCCATTCCAGCCCTCTGTGCAGTATACAAGAATTAAGGTCAACACAACACACACACAACAGTGAACAGGCAACTAAAGGTATCAACACTCCTGTATTAAAGTGCAATTCAAAAAGTTACAAACATTCATGGTTGATTTTTTTTTAAATACAGAGTTATTAGAATATCTCTAACTCAGACCTAAAAAGTGTTTATAGATAAGGAAATTTACTTCCCCCCTATGTGGAACTGCTTGAAATTGTGCAAACCTGACTTACAGGAGAGCCCTGGCACACAGGGAAGTAAGAGGCAAAACACTCCTTCCCCCTCACTGTGAAGGTAGGGGGCTGTAGGAAGGAGTACAATCACCCCATAAGTAAAGGATCACAAGGGTCTCTACCAGACTAGAGACTCTCTTCAGAGCAGGTTTAATGGCACTATGTCCTAAGGAAAAAGGAAAGATTGTGGCTGAGCAGCCAGAGTTTCTGCGAGAGAGCTGAGCGATAGTAACACCCACCTCAGACAGCGGTTCCCAGCTGAGAGGACACTGCACTCCTAAGCAATCCCACTCTGGGATTACAGTGCCCACCTGCCCACGTTGCTCAGATGTGGGCCTAAAGGAAAAGATGAGGGCCAGTTTTCCCCTGTGGAGGTAGCACACAGTGCAAGCTTGCTCAGCAGAGGGAGCCAGGGCTGAGAGACCTGTCTGCTGACAAGGCTAGTGCCAGGTCATCTTCCTAACGTAACATATTTTGCTCCAAGGCAGGCAGCCTCCTGTGCAGCACTTGACTCCATTACGCTTGAAGAACAGCTGCTTGACACAGGATCATTGCACAGATATGGGGCCTGCTTCTAGGACAGGGAAGGGAAGACTGATCCGAATGCCTGCCAGTCTATCAGCTCATTGGCCTGTGGCACACCTTTGTTTGCTTTTCTACTCAATGGCTACAAAGGCAGGCTGGTTGGTGCCCAACCCCTTCCCTCTTGCATAGCCAAATGCTTCAGTGTCTCTTAGAATGCACTTCCCAGGTCATCACCTCATGACTGTTAGTCCAGGACACGAATTGTACACTTCCAGCACAATACAGGATTTCCAGAGTCCCATCTCACGCTGAATTGTGCTAGAATTTTAAGAAATTTAACACCTTTCTGGGACACCCAAGAATCTATGCAAGGAACCTCATGGCTCTCTACACCTTTCCTCTTGGATGGTGCTTCAGAAGTAAAAAGTTTGGCACTCCAAGTTGTTTTACTCCAAGATCCCAGAGCCTTCACATTTTAGTCCTAGATTAGTCATGTGATATACTGGTGGTTTAATAAGAAGTCTATCTCTCTCCTCAAGCCAATGGCAGAGCAAAAGGTTAGTGCTTTGACCCCATGAGATAAAGCAAATAAGCAGGAAAGTGCTGTTGTTCTGCCTTGTATTGCCACTGACTTAATGTTTAAGGAGGGCAGGTGCTCAGCTGCCCAGCACTACATCTATCATATAGAAACAGAGATCCAGAGATATGTTAACTCGAGGGGTACTAACAGCCAAGTTGTCTTCAGGGAGAGAGAGTGTGGGAGGCTGATTGCAATTTCCTTCTGTTAGTTGTTCTTCTTATCCTCGGGAGGTGTATAAGGAGGTGGCTGATCCTGGAAGGAGATACAGTAGAGTCAACAACCCCGCTTGTTTTATGACAAGCTCTTCCAGGCTTGGCTCACAAGAAATGACTGCTCTGCAATGAGCTACAGATAGAGCCAGGTGCTACAGTTTAAGCTGTCATTTCATCACACCATTCCTCTCTAGTGTCAGCTATGCTCCATGATATACACTGTCTCTCATAATGTTTCTAGGGAAGGTCCCCTCAAAATCAGGTAACAAGTGGTCTACTGTAAATGAACCATTTAATCTGCTTTAACCATCATCCTCCCTCCTCTTCCAGGGCTTTGTCCTTGTTGAGGCTCATAGCTCTGACCCAGCAGATAGAAAGCTCCTGGGCTGAGGGCCAGCTTTGCTGCTCCATCACCCTCCAGCCAGCCAGACCCACACAAGGCAGTGAAGGGCACCGGTGGACTGTCATGTACCAGGTGTAGGCTACAGCCAACCTACTGGCTCCACCAACAAAACAGTAAGAGACCTTCTCATCTCCATACAGCCCAGAAAAAAATGAAAGAGAAATCCACATGCTCTCATCCTTAAGTGACCTGTTTTTCTTTAACTCTCCCCACTTTCACGCCCAATGGATGCAGAGAGCTCTGCATGTTCTCTGTTCTCTGCTATGCCTTTAGGAATAAGACAGGTAACAAATGGCTGTTACTGACAAATCTTAAAGCCTTCCTCCTTTCCTGACTGAAAATTTAACAAGCCTTCCTCTTGGGACCAACATCCATGCCTCCCTCCCAGAAAAATGCATACTTTCTGTGCATGTTCAACATGAAGGTATGAAAGCAAATTGTTATGAAAGCAAACCACTGTCTCTGCCACTGACAGAGGAGGGAGCAGCTACAGACCTGGCACAGTACTCACCATGGGCATGTACACGTTGTGTGGGTTGGCAGGATTGTAATATGCACTGGAAGCAGCTTCCATGGCCTTACTGCTTCCTGAAAAAAAAAGGAAAGCCACCTTAAATATCTTAGGCAGTGGTCCCAGAGCCTCCTCCCTGGCCATAGCTCTTCCAAGGAGGCAAGAAAGGCCCAAAGAGTTGACAGGAACTGCAGCAAGCTGGGTTAAAATTCAGAGCAGCTCAGGACAGCTGGCTAGGCAGCTGCAGGGCTGAGCAGCTCCCCACAGATGACTCTGAGCTCCTGCAACAACAGGTTCCCCATGCTGTGCCCATGACACCCTCAGCCCAAGGCCCCATGCGCCCTTTTGCAACCAAACCCTGGTCAGCCCCCAGTCCCATTTACCTGGCATGCCAGGGCTCACCCAGGATGGGGGAGCTGAGGGGGCTGAAGGTCCCGCAGGAGATGGCCCGGAGTAGGGTGGTGGAGGTGGCACATACGCAGGGTTCATGTTTGGAAGTGGCGGGTAAATACCTGAAAAAGACAACATCAGACTGATGCTTTGGACTGTGGCAATGGGACAGAGGGGAAGAGAGCTCACAGGCTGGCAGCACATTAGCTCTGGAGAAGAGCAGTGTCCAGAGGGAAGCTAGGCGGGCTTAGCAGGGATGCAGACAGCAGGGATTTTACAATTTGCTAATGCCTGTCATGTCAGCAGTCAATAATTCTAACAAGCAGCAGCACAACTTACGAACCACATTTTCATATACCTGGAACTATAGCAACACATGGGTGTGATCAACAGTATGAGACAGATTTTTTCAAGGACAAGGATCCTTGATGGAGACAAAACTACAGTAACCCTCACTGTACCACTGTCATTTCTTTACAGCTAATATCAAACAGAGTCATCGTTACACAACTTCCAAACCTGGAGTCTGAGCATATGGGTATCCCATGGGCTGTGGAGCAGGTCCATAGGCATTCATTGGAGGTGGTGCATAAGGATATGGTCCGTTTGGTGGTGGAGGGGCAGCATAGCCTCCTGGCACAGGTGAATAACCCCCGGGGGCAGGTGCATAACCTCCAGGAACAGGTGTATAGCCATAGCCGGGGTTCTGGAGAGGAACGCCACTGGAAGCTAAGGAGCACATGTTTAGTAAGCCAGACATCTTTCCTTACAACTAAATGCACAGAATAAAAGGTTTCCCTTCATCTAGATTCACTATATAGTCCTGGCATATTACCTCACAGCTACCAGTCCCACCATAAGACCTCCCACTGCTTGAAGAAAAGACCACGCTAAAGCAAGCATCAGTAAAGTGTTTTTCCCTTCTTTTTAAACCTTCTTTCTGAAAAAAATGTACATTTTAAAATGTACATTTCTTAAAAAAAAACTGTATCAGAAAAAAGGTACTTTTCCTCCCATTTGAAACTTTTAAATAGAAATTATTTTTCTAAAAACTATTTTTCCCCTCTCCAAATGTGCACATTAACTTCCTCCATCTTACTGAGCTGAGGATGGATAAGGGAATCAATTTTTCACCATCACATATTTCAACTTTTTTTTCCAGGAGGAATAAGGTTCTGCAGAAAAAGGTGGTCTACCCCAGAAGCACAAACCCCAGAATATTTTGACTGCACAAAGCACTAAGATGAACTAAAGAAAAAAGACTGGAAGGGAAAACAAAAGTTCCCCTGAAAAGAGAAAAAATAGTTTGCTGTGGAAGAGGGTATTGGGTACCCCTCATTCTATGAAGTTCAGAAAGAGCACTATTTGTTTACTAGCTCAGCTGACCGGGGGGAACAACAGGTTCTGAAAATCCCTTACCACTAGAAGCAGCTTTGAACATCAGCTGTCCAAACTCAATGGCTCCTCCACTGTTGAAAGTCAGTTTAAATGTCCCCTGCCCTTCCCAGCCACCTAGGAGAGAGAGAGAATTAGAACTGAAACAGACTACTAACCTCCTCGGTAGCAGCCAAGACAGCAAAATTGTTAATACTCCAATTATTTTTTTCTTTTTTATTTCAAAACTATTTTGCATCCTATTACCAGGTAAAGTCACGGCACTGCTAGTAGATGTCCCCCAAAATAGTATCTCAACTTCCCTAAGTTATTTCTTCACCCTTTAAAAGTTATAGTCATGTAGAAGCAGCCTACTCTAGATACTAGGCTGTTTTGTTCTTTCCTGAAAGATTTAATAGACTCTAATAATGAACACAGTGTAAAGATAGAATATTTATTTCACTGAGGATTTTAATCGAAAGCCCTCAGATGAAGTTTTATTGCTGACCTCAGTGGACTACAGACTAGGATCTGCAACTCAAGCTAGGATTTAAATCAAATGTAACATTTTTAATCTCTTTGACACATAGAACCTCAGACAGGTTATTAAATGCTGAGGTATAATAATTTTTCAAAAAAAAAATTCAAGTAGGTGATGTATTGCAAGATAAGTAAGACTGCTTTGTTTTGCCAGGGCTTTTTGGTTTGTTGTTTTTTTTTTTTTTTCCAGGGGGTGCTTTGTTTTTTGGTGTTTTTAGAAAAGAAAAAGGGGTCATTTAAGTAAAAGATGTCATTTAAATAAAAGATTTCATAAAATAAGATTTATCTTCCTTGTCTAACAATGAAGTTAGTAAAAAGAGAGATAGTCTCTTGGGGACAAAACAGAAATAAAGTATAGAAATATAACAAAATAATCCATCATGGATAAAGTCATCCCTTTGGAGATCACCTCTTTCAAAGCACTGTCTTAGTATGACTTCAGCACAAGAAAGCGGGCTGATCCACATTCCTCAAACAACCCAATCACTTTAAAACCTTGTTATGAACAGAAAGCAAAAAGTATAAGCTCTCCAGATGCCATGAAAATGCACGTAAACTAATTCCAGGGCTGGAGAGGGAAGAAATTTAAACCAGAAGCCTTCTTTTCAATCCCTGTTTATCGTTTGCAATTCCACATGTTTGGTCATGAACACCAGTGTAAGTCTTAACACAGTTTTGCATTCAAATTGGGATCAAAGCTAAATCAAAGATGGACAGCAGCTCCCCAGATGCTCAAGTTGGTAAGTGGCTGCTGACCTCCTGAAAACAAAAGTGGTTGCTAATTCTGTCTATCAATAGCATGACTTTGTCATTTAGCCACACTTCCAGGTCAAAGACAGGAGAAAAACAAGCACAGGAGGAAACTGGGTAAACACGGTATCTACAGCAAGACAGAAGTTACACAATCAAACAAAAGTCATCCTGTGAAAGTCAGTTCCTAGTTTGGGGGCAGAAAGTAACACAATAGCAGTGCCTTAAAGTTCAGGAGACGGGAGTCATCTCAGCCGATATCTCACACAAGCTACACTGCCACAGCTCCCCTGTGTTGCCTGTGCATGTAAGCCATCTGTCTGGTGTTCAGCAAAAAAGTTCTTGTGACACTTGGGAAGAGTTCAGTCTACAAAGCACGGGCACTTACCTCCTGCCTCGGCCTGAATCTGTCCTTTGATGTAATTGGCAGAGAAAACAGGCTGCTCAATTGAGCATCCTTTCACCAAATAAAATGGCATCATGAAAGACTGCATAGGATCCTTGCCCTTCGACACAAAGATCACCTGCAAGACATGAGGGAGCACTTCTGAATTACTTGATATAGTGGATGATTGTGGAGTTCTAGTCATATCAGCATCCAAAATGAGGGTAACTTAAGTCCTAGTATGAATATGCATCGTGTTATTTCACAGCTTTAATACAGCAGAACCCCCATGGATCTGATGGCACATTGTTCACTTGCCTGAAGCATGTATGTTCCAAAATAATAAACCACTTAAAACGCACACACACAGTTACATAGTTTTATTGTTCTGCTTTTGAAGGATAAGTTATGAGAGTTTTCAAAAAAAGTAATACTAAATGACACATTATATGAAATATATTCTCTAGACAGTGATTTCCAGGACTGCATGTGCCTTTGTAGGGAATTGGGATTGTAACACAGGCATGCCCTATCCTATCTCCACCTTCCCTTTTCCTACCTAGTGCTGTCAGTGGTTCCTTCCACAACAAAAATCACCTCTACCACCAACTAGGTTTCTGGTCTAAAGTTCACAAGATCCCCTGAGAAAGAAACAGCCCTGGTGGCATCAGACTTACCCTGTAAGGGGTGAGATACAGCATCCCTTTCTTGGTGCCCTTGAAGACTTCAGGCTTGCCTGTCACGTCACTGAAGGAGAGCTCCACATCTTTACACTGTTTGAGAACACTACAGGAGAAAATCAGACAGATTGGAGAGAAAAACTCAGCAACAGCTCTGACACACACCCTCATCACACAGGGAGCGGAATAGCACACCAAACCTCTAAATATTATCCCAAAAGTTTCTGCTATGGGCCCTGTCATTTTGACTTTGAACAGAGAGGGATGATTTATGTGGAGTGGAAGAATTCATCCTCTCACCTGTGACAAGCCCTGCTCCTCCTCCACAAAAGGAAGCTTTAAATAAGTTTCTCTTTCTGTCTCAAAAAAACTGAGAAATTCAGGCTGAGGAATTCTGCTCTGCACATAAAAAGCCTCAGCCCAAAGATCAGGGAATAGAAAGGGTTGAGTTGTCAGAAACCAAGGTGTAATCACACAGCAATCCTCTCTCCGCAGTCCATGCTCAAATCCAGGCCACTGCACTGGAAAACAGCACTGCTGTAACGCTGCACCGACTGTGCAAACTGAGGAAGTGGCTTTACTAACACCCCCTCTGCTGACCCTGCTTCACATGACTTAAGTAAGTACTTGTAATAAACAGTACCACGCTAAGGAACAAAACAATGAGCCAGTAATGTCAGCAATAAGGATATTATTGTTGGATATCTATGGGAACATTAGCAGAGTTTGCTAATGACACAAAGCCAGATGAGAACTGTGAACACTGCAGGGTTGGGGGTATGGAGGTGCCTGGAAAATTAAGTATCTTTTCAGAAAAAAAAAAACTTAAAGAGTTATCTTGGAAAAGTATGTCACTGAATCTAGGGGGCAGATCCTGAACATACTGCACAGTAAGAAAATTTGCAGAATAAACCAAAGAGCCTCGGGGGTGATAAACTGTCAGCATGTTACAGTGGCAGAAGATGCTGAGGTGTTTTATGGTTCAAGAGCATGAAAAAACAAAATCACAAAACCCTAAACTAGCACACGCCTGGAACAGGTTGCATCTGAAGTAATCCTTATTCTGATCAGCATATTGTAGAATTCAAATAAAGTCATGAAACTGCACAATTATTTGGGGAAAGGAGGAGTCTGCAGGGCCACCATATAGGAGAACAACCAAAAGCCCTGTAGTTTCAGGTTGTTTGCTCTTTAGGGAAGAGATGTATCTGATACATTGTAGATGTATCTGAAAAATGCACCTACTTGAGAATGAAGACATTAAAAAGTCTAGCTTTAATGAGAAATAAACAACTTCACCAAGAAATTCCACTGGGACATTACTTCATAATTGAGCTAGATGCAGATTCTCAGATTGGCTGGAAGGGAAAGACTGATGAGGTAGAAGAGCTCTTCCCATTTCCAAAATGCAAAGGGGGAAACATTTCTTCTAAGCTAAATAAAACCAGCTTCTTGACAGCTTTGATCCTACCAGAACACTTCCTCAGCCATGTCCCTTAGCAGCGTTTCACATCAGTTTGCCTCACTGGGAAGAATTTCTATGTAGTCATTGTCATGTTTACTCCTTCACAGCTATTCACACAAGCAAATAACATGCAGCCACCACCACTGGGAGTAATTAGGCTGCTGAACTGGTTTGCACCGTCATGCCTGTCCAGGGCTGTCACGGGAGGGCTGCACACCCTGTGGACTGCCCCCACCTGTGACTAAGCAGTACCTTGAAGAATGGCCTGAGATCATAAAATCCCAGAATGTTAAGGGTTGGAAGGGACCTTAAAGGTCACCTAGTCCCAACCCTACTGCCATGGGCAGAGACACCTCCCACTAGACCAGGTTGCTCAAGGCCTTATCCAATCTGGCTTTGAAAACTGCCAGGCTTGGGTCATCGACAACCTCCCTGTTCCAGTGTCTCATCACCCTCACAGAAAAACAATTTCTTCCCAATGTTTAGCCTAAATTTCTCCTCTTTCAGTTTGAATTCATTACTCCTTGTCCTATCACTACAGTTCCTAACGAAGAGTTGCTCTCCAGCTTCCCTGTAGGCCCCTTCAGATAATGAAAGGCTGTTGCCAGGTCTCCACAAAACCTTCTCCAGGCTGAACAGCCCCAACTTTCTCAGCCTGTCTTCACAGGGGAGGTGCTCCATTCCTCTTATCAACTTTGTGGCCTCGTTTGGACTTGCTCCAACAGTTCCATGTCCTTCTTATGTTAGGGACTCCACAGATGGATGCAGTACTCCACACAGGGTCACACCAGAGTGGAGCAGAAGGGCAGAATCACCTCCCTTGACCTGCTAGCCACACTGCTTTTGATGCAGCCCATGATTCAAAGGACAGAGAGATCTCCTTTAAACCAGCATGAGCTCTACACGTCAAAGGACTTCCTTGACTGAAGTATTAGGAGTCAGCTACAAATTCAACACTACTTGGAGCATACTTTTGGAGTGTATTTTTCCTACTGACTACCGGCTCCAAAAGAACTCCTTTGATCTTTTACTTCGATCCTTTACTGGGCCTCCAGTTTCTAGATGTGTCTTGCCAGGATGCTGGGAGCACCCGAACACAACCAAGCCGAAGCCCGAGCCCGTTGAGCCGGTCTGCCAGTCCCCACCTGGAGCGAGGGCAGGCGTCGAGCACCTGGCTGTGCTTCCATGGAGAGGCGCTCCTCCGCACAGAGAAGGAACAAGGGTTTCTTACTTCTAACTCAAGGGATCGAGACTCCTACCTTAAGTAGTCTCTGCCTCTCTGACTTCACTAACTGCATGACCTTAAAAAAACCCCCAATTCCTTGAGTTTTACAGCGATGGCAGCTCACTCTTCGCGTACGACGCCCGCTGGAGCAGCACTAAGGACCACCGAGCTCCCGCGGAGAATACGGGGCAGCTCTGCGGACCCCAGCCAGGCCTGCTCCCCGCACTGCCCGCCCCAGCCCGCTCCCACCCTGCCAGGAGCCCTTTAACAACGCAGACCCCAGGCCGCGCCGGGCCTGTGCGGGC